AGAAAAGTAAAGTCCAATTTGGAGTTGTGCATTCATGACTCATTGAAGGATTTCATTCACTATTTTTCCCACTTTGAGTGATTACTTGAGCAAATAAATCATTTATAGTTGTATAACTAACTCACTAAACCAAGAAAATTTTCACTTTTTTAAAGTGAACTTATTCCACTATGTTTGTCCCCTAATATATGGTAGGTTAAAGTCAAATGACTCATCATTTCAATATATTCAATAATAATAATAATAATAATTTAAAAAAAGATTGGGGATGGTAAACAATAGATAAAAGTTCAAATTTGTACAAGCATAAATGCAAATATTTCAAAATATTTGACATTTTGGAAAAGTAGGAATCCGTTTGTTGTTGTTCTTTCAAATATACTCTTAATGCTTTAATTTGTGGAATGTTAAGTAAGTGAGACGTTTAAGGGATAACCATTGAAAATTCAGACAAAATACTGTTATGTTAAGTAGTTAGATGTACATGAGTTCGACTGACCTCAATCGATTTTACTTTAACCTTATATTTGTTTTAAAAATTCAGTTAGCTAGTATATAATTAAAATTATCAATATTAGAAGCAATTACTTCAAGAAAATTACAATCCGGAATAATCACAAATGAAACTTCAAATGATAGATTCTATTGACGTGTACGAAAATCTTAAAAGACAGATAATATGAACGGATGGGAATACATACCTCAACTTTCTTCATCCATGAAGTAGCCTTTTGAACTTCTTCATTTTCCCATCCATTAATCACAGCATCTTCACACTTGAACCTATTATTAATCTTTGCAATTTTTGCAGTTTGCCATGCACTAATCTTTGATTCAACTTCCTCTTTCTTCACTCTATGTACAATCACTTCTCCTTGTTGACTAATTTCACTCAAATTATTGTTAGGAGAAGGAGCACTAGGGTTTAAATAAACATTATTATTGTTGTAATTATTATTATTATTATTATTATTCGTATTATCTGCTACAATAGCTAAAGAATTATTTTCTTCGACTATAGTCTCCTCTTCGAAAATCCTTCCTAAATTATTATTGATTGTACCTTCAACTTCATGACTTGTACCATTATTATTGTTGTTGTTGTTGTTGTCGTCGTTGTTGTTGGTAGAAGATCCAGCAAGTACCAAAGCATTGAACTCTCTACTCATGGTTGTGAAATTCTCACTTGGAACTCCTCCTAACTCTGAGGACAAAGATGATGATCTATGACTACTTGTTTCCCAAGCTTCCCTTCTTCGTCCTGCACGATTAATATTCATCATGATTGGTGGTACTGGTGGTTGTGGTGGTGACATAGTGTGGATATCTCTGATATGATCATCTCGATGATTCTGATTCTGATTCTGATCTTGATCTTGATCTTGATCCTGATGATCTTCATGATTGTTGTCTCTATTATTGTTGTTGCTTGATAGGACTAGAGCTCTTTGATCATTAGACATGACAAGGTTTTTGTTGATTTCTTAATTTCTATAGGGATTTTGTTAGGTTTTTAGTGTATATTTGGTAGAATGATCATACAAGTGGATGAAGGAGAAAAGGAAAATGGAAGGGTGAAAAATAAAAGGGAGAAAAAAGCAACATCATCTTGATTATTATTTTTTTGGACTATAGTTTAATCAAAGAAAATATGGTCAAAGTGATATGAACCACACATGCAAGTTGGAGTATAGTAGTAATTGAGTAATATATGAGGAAAGTTCAAGAAATAAATACTATGGTTCCCAATTCCCATAATTCACAGATAAAGCTAAATAAAGTAAGAAGTATAAACCTAGAAAAAAAAAATGTTATTAATTAGTGCTGATTATGATGATTTTTTTTTTGGGGCTTTACCATAATTACATTCTATAATATACAAAAGATATACATTATTTTAAAATTAAAGTATACATATTTTATGTATATGATACAATAATATATATATATTGACTATTATTTTGATACACGACTATACAATATTATTTTTCCTCTTTTTTTTTAGCATGAAGTTTCAAGTACCCTTATCTTTTGATAGTTAAAGTATTTCCTGAATTGACAGAGTCAGAAAATTATATAAGGAATTCAAACATATATCCGGAATGATATGGTACATAGATAGATAAACATCTTAACATGATCTTAGCGTAGTAACCAAACATCCTAACTTTCAAAATGCATGTTTAGACATCTTAACTTGTTTGCTCTCCTTATCACACTTTCGAATGTACATTCTCAAAATTGAGGTATTTACGAGGCCAACTTAAATCAAACTAAGTTAAGAAGAAGAATAAGAAGAATTGCTTAAGTTAAGATTTCATCTATCTATGTTATGTATTATACGACAAGAAGAAGGACCAAATCTATAAGACACACTAAACTATAGGGACTTAATTGCAAAAGAATCACTTTAAGTAGTGTCGGCCAAAGAGGATTCTATTTATCAGTGGGACCATATAAAATCTAACACGTGTCACACGTATCACCACGTGGATGAATCTCATTGGCTACAAATAAACTCAATGCTTTATGTCGTTTTCATTTTAAGCATTAAGAACCAAGCAATACCGTCAGATTATCGACACGTGTACGACAAAAACATGAATAAATATTAAAGGTTAATAAGATGACCACGTCACATGTGATAATTTATCAAACATTATCAATGCAATAATTAGAGTAGTAAAATATTGATTAAGATATTCATTAATGATCTCTCAACTCTTAATTAGAGGTATTGATTGTTCAGTCGGAGTTCGGCCTTTGAAAATAGAGAAGCTTTTCTTGGCGGCATTGAATTTGAATTAGTCTGATCCAATACATTATCAACAATGATTATAGTGTGATGAATAAGTTCTTTTGATTCTAAAGTATGTGTCTTATTTTTTCGAGTTTGAACTTTGTGAATTGATGAGTAACTATTGATAGAAAGTATTTTCCTCAAATAGGTTCTATGTGACACGAACTTGAATTAGTTAGATCCAATGCATTACATGTCATAAACAAATGTATTATGAAGAATGAGATTCTTAATCAGAGGTTTAAGTCTTTTGAATTCAAGCTATACAAACTGATAAACGATCATAAGAAGCACATCCCCCTCTAATTATAAATTCTAAGTGATGAAAATTTAAAATAGTCAGATTCAATGCATTCTAAATATTAAGAAAATTCAAAGAAGCTTACTTTTACTTTTACTTTTGGATTTCTTTCCATTTATTTGCTTTTCCAATCAAAATTTTAGTGATATAAATGTGAGTGGGCAATGAGAAATTGGAATATGACAAGTCTCCTGTGTTTTTTAATAGAAAATTAGATACAGGTGTTTGCAATAATAGTATTGGAACAAATAAGTTTTGAAAAAGATGTGATTAGTTTATTTTTGTCCTCTTATCTTACTTTCAGCTGGTAATATCTCCATCACCTACCAAATTTTTAGAAATAATGGTCAAAAACTCATCTAAATTATTATTTTTTCATAGATTTCACACTTTAATTATCAGTTATTTTTTTTTTTTTTTTTATATGAACTTTCTTCATTTATGTATCCAAACACACCTAATTAAGAAGATGGTGATAATTTAGATTAAAAAGAAAAGGAACAATTTTTCAAATAAGAAAAAGAAATAGCCGATATAAAATTTGAGAAATAGTGATAGTTCAGTTTTTTGGAAGTTCTACTTTTGAAGTTGATACTTTTGTCATTTTGTAATAAATGAGATTTTTTAGTGGTTGATTGGTTCCTTGTAACTAATTAGAGTAGTAAGAGTGTATTAAGGTATGTGAAAAGTCTACTATGAAACATGACATTATTCACTCTCAATAGTTTAAGGGATCGCCTGGTGTGGTGGATAAGAAAAAATAATTTCGGGATAAATTTAAAGTACCCCTTAATTCTTTATTCGGTTACAAAGTGTGAGATAATTTATCCTAAAGGGATTGTTTGGTGTGAAGAATTTTATCAAATAGTCTTGAGATTGATTAAATTATAGTGACGCTTAATTTGTTGTTTGATTGGCAAGTCCGAAATAACTTATTTTGAAATTAACAATAAGTATCGGAATAAGTTATCCGACCTCTTTCGATAGTATAATAATCCCACCATAATTTATCATGGGATAAATCTTTTAAATGACAAAATCACCCTTCAAACCCTTTATGCTAAGAGCTAGGAGAAAGTCAAATATGGAGAGAATGAAGACATAATGGTGGGTAAAAGAGATTGTAATTTGTTGGATAATTTGGTGATTGGATTAATTAGTCAAGAGGTTTCATATGCCTTTAATATAAAAATAAATTTTTCTTATTAATATAGTCAAAAGAGAAAGGATTATTTTATTTTATTTTCTGCTTCAAAATTAAATGATAGACTCTATTTTATCCATCTCTTTTCAATGATATGTATAACATCCTCGTCAATCTCCATATTTTCTTAAATTATTGACCCAAGATTTTTGGAACTCCCTTAAGGATGACTTGTGTATCAAACCTTGTTTTCATGTCATGCCTCGTGAATTGCATTACTAAACTTGCATTCAAATTTCTTTGTCTTACTCTTTCTCAACTTAAAATCCTTAGACTCTAAGATTTGTCGTCAAACTTCCACTCTATCGTTAACTCAATCATGTATTTTGTTAAGCAAAATTAACTACACATTTCAAAGTATTTTTCAAGTAAATTAATTAATAACTATACACCAACTAATTAGTAGGAATAATATTATGATAAAATATACACTTCGTTTATTATTCTTAAGAATGTACAAAGTCCACTATGACTAAAATAAAAGTGAACAAAAGGAGTAATTTTATTCTGGAAATAAATTTGTTTTGTTACAAAAAAATGCACATGAAAAACATCTCAAAATTAGTATAACTACACATTTGCAGTTATCACTCACTGGACTTCAACAATGAATCCAAGCTCATGTGTCCCTATTCCTAAAGTCTATAGCGACATTAAATCTAATGACAATCAATTAACATCAATAAAGATTTTAGCACTCGTTGTTAATGTATGTATTTATTGTAGTGTGTACCCCTCAAACGAAAAAGGGAAAAGGTTTCAGATTGACCTTGAGATTTGTTTATAATCCCGTGATGATAAATCAAATATGCTAGTAGACTGGAAACAACATTACAGACCGGTTAGAACCATGAAAAACACCAAATCAAGATCACGTTAATGTTGACCGATGCCAATTCTTAAGTTAGAAGTTTCCATATTTCCATCGAACAACTCAAAACTCGTCTGAATTCTTTTGAGACCCAAACCAAAAATCACCTTACGGAGATGATGGAACTATCAAAATTCTATTTCAAGCTTGTCTTCTAGTAAAACCCTTAGTTGAGTGACTTTGAAGTAATACAAAAAATTGAGTGACTTTATGCGAAAAGAACTATTAGTTGAATAAGCATCTGAGATATGTTATACCACCACATGTTTTACCTCACCAACAATCAGGGGCGTATGTACATGAAGGGGAGGGGGTTCACATGCACCCATCCTCCTCTTCCTAACCCCTATATAATACTACTATTTTTCTAATTATCTTTTTAAATTTGTGTTGGTGAACTCAAGGTTAAAAAGAATACTCTAGTATATTGATAAGTAAGTATAAATAGGGGGTGCATAACTTATAGATTTGTGGTTCAAATTTTTCTATCCACATTAATATTTTTAATTTTTAATTAATATAACAAAATGTGCCACTTTTCATAGATCTTTTTAATAATTTATAAATAAAAAGAGGTTCAAATACCCATATTTTTAGGTTGCATTAGCTATGTCTAGACCTTAAGCTAGAAGTGTCAATAAAGTCAAATTATATTTTTTACTTTCTTTTTCTCCTTTCCTTCTTTATTTAGACGTTTTTCTTATTTATTTATTTTAACTTTTTCTTTTGACTTTTCAAAGCCCTAAACTAAAAGGTAAAAAGGAGTAAAGACATCATATTGTTCTTCTTTTGGCTTCATTCCACATTTCCACTTTGTTGTTCATGGTGAAGTAGAAGTGAGATTTGAGAACAAGTAACAAGGTATGTTATCTAAAAAA